AACTGTTCATGAATACCGAATTGTAACAAGTTTTAATGAAACACTCACACCTAGAAGACAGTTAAAAATGTCAAATGTAAAAATCAGAGTCTATGAGATTGTCTGTATGCCACTCAGAAAAACAGAAGAGGGAATATGCATTTTCAGGTCAGTTTGTAACCCATGAAGGACTGCACATCATACTTTGAGAATCACTAACATGGAGGGTGGCTTTCAGTTGACATGAAGTAAAAAGATGTCAAAGACTCTATCCTTTACTAAGTTTATAATCTTGGCCAAGTTCCTTAAGCTCACTGAGCTTTATCTGCTTCCTTTATAAAATGCAGACAGATGATATCTTCTGTATCCGTAGGTTGTAAGATTACATGAAAGGATACATATAAAGCATTCTGTAAACTAGAAAGCTTCAAGGTAGTTATGAGAATGTTTGTTAGAGGGGCAGGGCATGGTGGCTCATGCCTGTAATCCTGGTATTTTAGGAGGCTGAGGTGGGAGGATCACTTGAGGCCAGGAGTCAGAGACCAGCCTGGGCAACAGCGAGACTCCATCTCTACAAAAAATTAAAAAAATTAGCTGGCCGTGGTGGCACATGCCTGTAGACTCACCTTGGGAGGTTAAGGCAGGAGGATCACTTGAGCCCAGGTGTTGGAGGTTGCAGTGAGCTATGATGATAACATGGCACTCTTAGCCCAAGCAACAGAATAAGGCACTGTCTCAAGTTAAAAAAAAAAAAATAAAAAGTTTGCTAGGGTTATGCCTAGAGAAAACAAGTTTTACCTGAATCGGGGAATGGCGAGGGGAGGAATGTAATTTCACTAAGAGCACAGCTCCCCAGGGGAAGGATTGTTGGGAGAAGTTGCTGAGGAAGAACAGAATCCTATTTTTTGCTGTTCTTTGAGATGAGGAGGGTGCTCACTTCTCAGGACTATGGTGAGGACTGGAATCTAGTTTCTCTTTGGGTCTTTTCTCTAGGTCAGGTGTGACCTCCATTCAATTCTCCCATCTTCCCTCTTGAATCCAAAATCCTGAGTCTTACAGTGGCCTACAAGCCACCCCCTCCCTGCCCCATCACCAACCTGACCTAATTTTTGCATTCTGTCTCTACCACTCCCTCCCTCCAGCTGCATGTCCTCCCTGCTATTCTTTGCACAGCCCCGGCAGCACCGGGTCCTCTCTACCTGGACGCGTCTCCTCCAGATGTGTGCATGGCCCACTTAGCCGCCTCCCCAGGTCACTGCTCAAATGCCACCTTTCCAACAACGCCTTCTGTGACTCCTCTGTTTAAAACTACATACCGCTTCCTCCCACCGGTACTCTTTATTCTCCTTCCCTGCTTTATTTTTCTACATAGGGCTTATTACCACTTCAAATACTATATATTTTATGTATTTAGTTAGTTTGCCATCTGTCTTTTGCCATTAGAAAGTAAGCTCCAGTACGGCATGAACTTCTGTCTGTTTTGTTCTTGCTACTTCCCTGGCACCTAGCATAGTGCTTGGCACATGACGACAGTGACTTGTCACAGGTTGCAGGGATGGGACTCAGGCTTGGCTCTGCAGATCCCCAGCTTATTTCCATTTCTATTTCCTTTGGCCTTACACAACTGATTGATTCATTCTTTTATGCATTTATTTACTTATCCGACACACATTTATTTAGTGCCTTCAATGTATTTGTAGATATAGTAGGAAACAACTCAAAATCCTTGGTCTCATGGAGCAAGGGAGACATACTGTCAATGAGCGTATACAGTTTCAGGTGGACATGAGCTACGAACAATATAACAGGAAAGGGGGCTGCGGAATAACAGGGGGTGGTTCGGAAAGGGCTCACTGGAAGTGACATTTGGTAGGGACCTGGAGGAGGGGAGGGAGAAAGTTACGTGAGACCCCTGGAGAAAGTGGCTCCAGGTGGAGGCAACCGCAGGTGCAAAGCCTGTGTTCTGGGAGATGCCCATCGGGGTGGGAGGGAATGCCAAAGATGCCAGGCAAGAGCCGGTGGGCAGGAGGAATGGGAAAGTCATCTCTTGGAAGTTTGGAAACATGTTGATGAGCCCAGAATTTTGTGAACTCCCCTTTCTTGGGGGGAAAGGGTAATGCTCTGATCATCACCTGGACCTTTCTATGTTTAGGGGCCCTGGGTCTCCAGGAGTGCGCTGTGAGGGGGAAGGGGAAGGAGCAGGTGTCTGTGGGTAACTGGTTTTGGTGTGGGGGCAGGAGCTGTCCCTTGGTGAAGAAGGTGGCGGGGATGGTGCTGGAAGGGGAGCAGCATGACTTGTGTGAGATTCGGCTTGGAAAGGAGCTCATTAGCGGCCTGAGGTGGAGGCTGGGCCAGGCAGGACAAACTTCCACCTGTGCCCCAATTGAGCTGACAGAAAAGCAGAGTTCTTAAGAGCTCAGATCCTGGGATCAGACATATGATTCAAATTATGACTTTGCTAAGCTGCATGATCTTGGGGAACTCCTCTGAGATTCAGTTTCCTGATCTGTAAAATGCAAGTGATGGTACCTAATTCCACACGATCATTATGAGAACTGAATAAAATGACATTCATTAAAATGCCGACCCTGTGGCCTGATAAATGACAGGCACTCAAAGAGTGGTAGGTGATATAATGATGACATATGATAGTAGATAGTGCTCCGCGCAGACATTGCTGGTGACCACGGCCCCTTGCTAAGCCCCTGCCATCGGCGCTGTCAGAGGTACACATTACATTGCGGCGCTGTATTCCACGCTGTTTTGCCCTGTTCTCTGGTTCTGTTTTACGAAGTTAAGTGGTGTCCTCTGGTTTGCTCTATCCAGAGGGCTGAAATGTGTGACGGGACCTGCAGCCGTGGTCTGTATAGACCCGTTCTGTTAGTTTTGTGCTACCTGAGAGCCTTACGAGTAAGAACTTGAAAGAAGCTCCCGAGGAAAGAAAGCATCAAAAGGCTTCGGAGAGGATAAAGGGCCTGGGTTTGCAGTGCTGCCTCTTTAATCCAATATTAGTTGGCTAAAAAAAGAAGGCACTATTCAAAGGTATTCTGGGTCCTGCCCCTTCCACATGCCCTTTATCTTTTCACTTCCAAGGATGATAGAATACACCGGTTCAGTGTTTCCCAAACTTCAATTAATCACATCTTCTTTTTTTTTGGTCATATCCATCTGTCATAATTTGCTTAATAATTTTTTTAAAAATGGACTGACTTTTTAACTTAAAATGTAAATAAAAGGAAACTTTAAGTCACGTGGGTTTGAAGATCTAGTTCAGGCGTCCTCAAACTACGGCCTGCGGGCCACGTGCAGGCCGCCTAGCACACTTATCTGGCCCTCTGGGTGTTTTTGCCACCGCTGCCTGTCCTGCTTAGCAGCCAACTCGTCCTGGGCCCACAGTGCACACTCTCCAACGGTCTGAGGGACAGTGAACTGGCCCCCTGTTTAAAAAGTTTGAGGACCCCTGATTCTAGTTGTACTATTCTGATATCCATTAAAAGATAGAGCCATTAACATGAAAGGAAAGTATATGCATGTACCATCTAAGATCAAGTGCTGTGCACTCCACACTTGGGGATGTATTGAGTCAATCAGTAAACAGAGGAGCGTAATTCATTAGGAAGAACTTGGTGAACAAAAGGAGATTAGGGAAATCAGTCATTATCTTTGCTGGAAATGTGGGTAAACTATTATTTTAGTGAGAGGTTTGAAAGTCAATGAGGTCTAAAGGCAAGGGCCTGAATTAGTTGAATTTTCAAAATCTTTCTAAGATTTTGATTTTTTTTAAGAAAGCCTGAATGTGCCTGCTTTGGGTGTCCCTCTCTTTCTCTCAGGAGGCAAAGTCCCTCTCCTCCCCGCAGCGTGTGAGGTCTGGGGACCCACAAACCTGTCCTTCCCCGGCCTCCTTCACTGCCTACACCAGGGCCACACAGACCTCAGTTTCTGAAAGAGACCACCCATCACCCTCTTCCACCCTACCTCTCTAGAGCCTTCTTTTACCTTGGAAAACACAAAATGAAAGCCAAAGCCCCAGGGCAGGGTGTGCTATTTTTTTTTTTTCTAATAGCCAGTTGGGCAGATTTAGGACCATGACCCCTACTGCTAGACCTTGGAAATGGGTTTTGGTATTGGTTTATTACATTCTCTGGCTTATGATTAATATGCACTATCTAACTGGAAGCTGCTGCCAGGTGGAGACCACTCTTTTGTTGTTTTTTTTTTTAGCAAGATACAGTTGAATTTAAATGTCATTTAACGGACACCAAAAGATGCCTTCTATGTTGAGCATAATTCCAGCATAACAGCTAATTGGTGAGTGGTTCCCTGCTCTCTTTGTGAGGACGACGGATACTATGCATCCTTCGGGAACCACCCCTGGCTGTGTCCTAGGGAACTGCAAAGCATCCCTTAGTTGGCAGCATTAAACATTCACTTTGTTCTGCCTGGAATCTGGTCTCGGTGAGAACCAGAATGTTTCATATTTCTCACTAGTAACCTAATTTCCATTTGCAGCTCAAACAGTTAGAAACAAATGTCAGGAACACATTCCTTTCTTCTAAAGAGAAAAGCAGCAGCACAAGTGACCACTTGCTATGGCCTCACCCTCCAAGCCCAGAGATGGATGGGTTTGCCTAAGGATGATCAGAATTTTTAAGTTTGGAGTCACCTTGATAGAACCACCCTGACTCAGATCAGCCTCATTGCGGGTCAGTTCTGATTCTCCTCAGGAGTTGGGTTCATGACTCTGGTTTCTACAGCTGGACCCCCAAATCCCATGAATTGGGCAGAATTCTCTCAGTCTTCCCCGAGCTGTATGGGTTCTTTCACATCCCCTAAAGACTATTTTTTCACAGACATCTCCCCACCCCCATCTGCTATTGAAAGGATTAACCATCGTTCATGACTTCCCACGAGTCGTCCTCCACGCTAGATCGGGACTTTCACCTGTTTCCTATTTCCTGATATTTCTGCCACCTAAATGGAAGACGCCTTAACTCCAAATTTCAGACAAAAGAGTTACTTACTTGGTTCCACGGTCAGATGGGTTCCTTGTCCAAAGATGAGCTTGTCATAACACAGCACTTGAGGGCATGCCAAAAACCTCAGCAGCACGCCCACCTTCCTTCTCCCCGTTAGCTTTAGGACTGGAGGATCTTTAGGGCTTTGCTCCTTGAAAGATGGCACTTGTTGCTTATCCAACTGGTCCTTGATGATTTAATCAACTGCAGATGGAGATAGGTTTGCTTTTGGGAGGCTGTTGTCTGAGGAGCATGCAGGAGCACGTGCTCCTATGGTGAACATTCCCAACACGGTACACATTACGAAGTGCTCCGAACTGTTGCTTTCTCTTGTTTTAGATTGTTCTCACTTCCTAGACCAACATTTAAGTCCCAGCCTAGGAAAGCTGGCCCCATCAGGGTGATGTGTCTTGGATCTATAACTACTCCACAGTCAAGGCCTTTACAGTCACCAGTGCTGCTATGAGGGCAGATAATGTGTGACACAGTCAGAGGAGACAGGGTGGCATGAAGCCCTGATCAGGTATGGGTGATTTACAGAATAGTCAGCTTTAGAATGAGCAACTATGGCTGGTGATTGCCTAAAAACATATCAGTCTCTCTTCAAATTCATCTTTCCAAATTGCAAAGCAGAGCACTTGGACAAATGTCTCTAGGGACTTGGATTCATACATTCCACATGAGGTAGCTCATATAACTCTCTTTTACAGTAGAATCAGCATGAAAGCAAGACAAGACTAGTTTTAAAGAACACCATTTTGTATTTCCCAAATGTGCTGTGAGAAAATGTTGAAACGCCAGCTTCACCCAAGGGAGAGCAGCAGGGAGTGAGAGGCCAGTGGTTGGGGTCATCTCCCCTGGTCCAGTCAACTTCTTGGCATCCTTTCCCGGCCATAGAGCAAGGGGGAAAGCTGCCTGATGAGTTCATTCCTTGAAGCACAGGGCCTGGGCTGAGGATTTCCCAGGAAAATGGCACTTTTGCCTCTGCAGTTTTTGTACGGGTCTCTGTGGGTTTTGTAGCACTGTGGTATCCACCCAGCCACAGTGCTACACAGCTTTACAAAAACCTCCCCTTGTTTTTGTACTATGTGGCCTCTGAGAAGCCCCAGAGCCAGATGTTTTAATTAAATTATCAAACGGTTTTGGTGGTTAGGCCGGGCCAGGCTGGCTCAGGTGCTCCTCTCTGAGGCTCTTCTGACCCACTGGCTAGGTCGCCCTGGGGTTTGCAGCTAGGGTGGACTTTTAGAAATCATCACATCCATTCCCATCTGTGCTTTCTGGCCAGTCTGCCCTCAAATAGTTTCCTACCAAGGAGTCTGTTAGAAATCTGAATATCTCACGTGGATTCTACATGCTGTGGGTGAGGCCAAAAACGTTTGTGGTCAATGTAATTTCTTCTGTCCCCTGGTAAGCTTTTGCATCACCTTGGCCCACCCTGCTTTATGCTTGAATAGTGTTTTACAGTGTACAAAGAGCTGTCATGTAAATTTAAAATTTTATCCTCCCCCTTGCCCTTCCAGTTGCTATATTGAGGGCCATTTAGAAAAGGTGACTCCACTGTGAGAATGCAGAGATAGCCCCTGGGCTCAAGTTTGGCAAACAGATGGCAACTTTGTGTGGTTTATAAAAGGCAACTCTTTCTCCAGATGATGCAGCCCTGCACCAGGGTCTTGGCGAGGCCGGAAGAGCAAGCACTGAATTTTAGCCCAATTTGTCCTCTTGGACAAGTGCCTTTGTGGAAGGCACAACTTGTGAAGAAGTAGAGGCAGTGGCCATATTTTTAGTTACATTCTCATTTTGCCTCTGATTTTTGACCCAATTACTCCCTTCTCAAAAACTCTCCTTGGGGCTTTCAAGACACTGGTCTTGTTGGCGTTTGATTTCTTTTGTATCGCTGTGAAAACCAAGCAATATAATAGGCTCATGGAAAGTAACTTTATTAATTGTTTACCATGAAAGGAGAGTATAAATTGTGCTGTTGTTATTGTTGTTTATCAATAGGGAACAGTGGTATAAAAAGGTTGATCTTGAAACTTCCCCTGGAGGTCTTATTTAAATACATGGTTTAATGAAACCATCACTATTTTACTTATGGTCTTCTTCCTATGCTACATACAGCTGCGTGCCTGTCCAATAAACCCCAATAAACTTCCTCCCTACATACAGTCTAACATTCATTTGATGATTTCAAAAAATAGAAAAAGACGAAAAGAAGAAATGTTTTGTTCTCAATAACAGATTTATGTGACAGGGAGGGCTTAGGGTAGAAGGCAAGAAAATGTGGACTTCATAGGGGAATCAGAAGAGTATAAAGAATTGTAACTTGGACTCTTGAGAATAGCTGGCTTTAGGTGCTAGTCTTTGAAATGGCAAGAGGTAGGTGGTTACTGTGTTAACTAATAAATCAAGCTTCTGACTAACTCATATGAGATACATTGACTTCCTGCTAGTGCTGGTGTACAGACTTTCCCAAGAAGAAACTGGCTTGAACAGAACTAGTTACAAGAAACAAAAAGCTGGGAACCTTAATGAGAATGCAGCTATTGTGGTTCCCAACTCTGCATTCCCTCCCTACAGCAGAAGTGTATATTCAGGTTCTTTGCAGCATAAGTTTTCAAGCCTTCCTACTATAGGCGCAGTACACATCCCACTCTATTGACATTGGGTCTTCATCATGCTTTGATCCATAGAAGATGAGTGGAAGTGACAGTGTGCCAGTTCCAAGCTGAGGCTCCGAGGGGCATCACAGTGTGGATTTCCACCAGCGCTCTGAACCTCTGCCCTCTGAGATGAGAGGAGTATGGTCTAGGGAATCATTGCTGCTTTGCCCTGTGTGCTGGCATGAAGAGACATAGAGCAGACATGAATCCAAACCACATCTTGAAGCCAAGTGCAACTGGCCTGCAGACTAATGAGCAAAAGTGACATATGTTTGTTTTTGTAAGCAACTGCAATTTGGAGCTGTTAGTTATAGATCATAATTCAAAAGTAAATGCTTAAAATTTTTATGGCTCCCATTATTTCACAATAAACCAGTATGAAAGAAAGGCCTTTGCCTACTTGCTCCCTTAAGCTCAGCTACATTGAGCTATTTGCTTCCTGAACACTCCCTGTTAATTTTTTCTGCTGGCCCTAATTGTGCCCTCTGCTGCAATGTCTTTCCTCATGATCAGGCCATTGTTCTCTTTGGTTGTGTGCTCCAGCTGGACTTCTTCCTCGACAGGGGAAAAGAAGTGCCCACTCTGGGAGGCTCCAGACTCTGCCGGTATGATCCACACTGAACCTGCAAACAAAGAGAGAACAAGATTTCATATTTCATTTGGGCAGGATTCCTCAAACTTTGGAAATTCTTCCATGGTTTCTTTGGTCTTTAGCTGATGGCTATTATCTCTATTAACATGCAATGCTCCCTCTGCCCCAACCTCAGACAAGCTAAAGCCTCCCTCTATTTCCATTGCTCAAGCATTAGTAGGGGCTAGCTTCAGGTCATTTCTTGTGATTGGGTTTTGATGGGAATGAAGGATGTGATGAGGAGAAGGGTACAAGGAAAGGGCACAGATAGATTAGAATGGGGAGCCACAGATGACCTACTTTATAGTTTACAAAGGGGAGACAGCTCGTGGCTTCCCTAGGCTTTTGGCAAGAAATGGAATCATTCCAGAAATTGCCAAGCACTGTGTGTGTGTGTGTGTGTGTGTGTGTGTGTGTATTTGTTCTGCTGTATCATTCCTTCAATTGCCATAATTCCTTTTAGAGACCCTAAGAAAATATACATCCTAATACTGACCTTAATATTTGAGCGAATGTCTCTAAGGAGTTGGATCCATACATTCCGTATGACGTAGCTCATATAACTTTCGTTGCAGTAGAATCTAAACGAAAGCAAGGCAAGAATAGTTTTTAGAGAGCACCTTTTTGTATTCTCCAAATGTGCTGTAAGAAAGCACTGAAATGCCAGTTTCACCCAAGGGAGAGCAGCAGGGAGCGAGAGGTCAGCGGTTGGGGTCATCTCACCTGGTCCGGTCAACTTCTGGGCATCCTTTCTGGACCTCAGAGCAAGGAGGAAAGCTTCCTGCTGTGTTCATTCATTGAGGCACAGGGCCTGGGCTGAGGATTTCCCAGGGACATGGCACTTTTACCTCTGCAGTTTTTGTACAGGTGTCTGTGGGTTTTGTAGCACCGTGCCGTATCCCAGTCACAGTGCTACACAGCTTTACAAAGACCTCCCCTTGGTTCCGCACTACATGGCCTCTAAGAAGCCTGGGAGTCAGAGGTTTTCTCCAAGGCAAATGGATTTGCTGTTTAGGCTGGGCTGGCTGGCTCAGGGGTTCTATCTGAAGCTCTTGTGCCTCACTGGCTAGGTCAGCCCTGGGTTTACAACTAGGGTGGGCTTTTAGAAATCATCACACTGACTCCCATCTGTGCTTTCTTGCCAGTCTCAAAGCACAAAGCAATATAATAGACTCATGGAAACTAACCTTATTAACTGTTTACCATGAAAGAGAGTATAAATTGTGTTGTTGTTGTTTATCAGCAGGGTGCAGGGTTGTAAAAAGGTTGATCTTGACACTTTCCCTAGAGGTCTTATTTAAATCCATGGTTTAATGAAATTACCACTATTTTACTTATGCTCTTCCTCCTACACTACATACAACCGCATGCCTGTCCCATAAACTCCAAGCAACTTCATCTCTATATCCAAAGTCTAACATTCTTTTCCTGATTAACAAAAATATGAAAAGAGGAAAAGAAGAAATGTTTTGTTCTCAATGACAGATCTATGTGACAGGGAGGGCTTAGAGCAGAAGGCAAGAAAATGTGGGCCTCATGGGGGAATCAGATCAGGATAAAGAATTATAACTTGGACTCTGGAGTACAGCTGGCTGTAGGTGCTAGTCTTTGAAATGCAAGAGGTAGGTGGTTACTGTATTAACTAATAAACTTCTGACTAACTCACATGAGATACATTGACATCCTGCTAGTGCTGGTGTATAGACTATCTCAATAAGCAGCCATCAGAAACTGGCTTTACCAGAATTATTTACAAGAAACAAAAAGTTGGG